AGCCGCGGTGAGGTGGAAACCTGGCGCTACGGCCGGATTTCGGGATTTCGATGGGATATAAAAAGCTATTTTAAAGGGATAATGCCAGTTTCGTCCTTTTCTCGGCTTTGGGGACTTTTTGACGCGACTTTATACGTTGATCAATGGAATTTTATTGTTTAATTTAAAAATAAAATTTTCTATTCCTTACTCGATTACAATTTTCTTTGGTTTTTTTTTTTTTTTTTTTATTTGTTATCGTTTAAATTTCGCATGTACATTAATATATTGTTAATTTAACAGTCTTATCGGCGAAGGAATCGACAATGTTGCTTGGGCAGGTAGCGTAAAAATTTTAAAATACGCGTATTTACGTGGTTCGATAATTTTGATTTAACCTTCGACTTCTTCAACGTCAAATTTCAATAATTTGAGATATATTCTTTATCGATATACTATAATTTTAGCCAACCTTATAATTACTCGCGATACAAATATTATATTTGTATTCGAATATGAAATAATTGAGTGGAGTGTATTACCAAATGGCCATAATTAGTTGCTCAATAATATTGATTTTTCAATGACATATTATGTACATTATGTATGTTACAATTATGATATATTATGTGTGTACAACAAATTTAATTGTGACAGCTGAAACTGTATTGGATATTAAGTATATTTATCCCTATCTTTTCTTTATAATACGATTTATTTAACTTGAAAAACTTTCACTCGATACACCTGAACGTAAAATTGATTGAGTCAACATTTACGCTACTTACGCATACCTGACGGTAAATACAAACGGACATACTTAATTCACTATAGTACTATTAGTATTTAAAATTTTAATGATATTTAATGATAACTTCATTAAATAATACCTTAATCGTTACTGAATTAATAGTATGTAAATAGAACGAAATTTTTTAATAAATTTTTAAATTAAAAAAAAAATCATTCAATAGATATTTAGAAAATATATTTGAATTTATTATACATAATAATCTTTAAGTTGTTAAAAAAAAAAAATAAAAAAAAATAAGGAATTTTCTCTATAGCTATTCGTAACTATTTGTAGTTTCATTGACAATATTCGTAATTTATTATATTATTCTGTATGCTTTTTTTAATCCAATATACTTTATAAAATTTATAAATAATAAAATGAAAATTTAATGCAGAAGATGAACTTTGTAAATTATAAATAATGTATTGAGTATATGGACATAAATAATCAAATTGATTATAATATCGAGTAAATATCTTTCAAGTCTATATCATAATAATATAATTATAATTAATGAAAAGAATTCTTTTATTTATTTTTTGTTGTTTTTTGTTGTTGTTTTTTTTTTTTTTTTTTTTTTTTTTGTTTCTTTCTTTTACTACATTTTTAATATTCAGTATTTAAACACTTTTATAGAAATTGCTTATATTAAAAGTAAAAGCTTCTGATAGTATTTAAAGTAAGCGCTAACTGTTTACTTGGTTAACATAACAATTGTATCGAATTCCAATCTGTCTAAGTGTTTTACTTGAAGAAATAAAATGTACACTAAATGCTAATTGTATTAATACACTGCATGTTCGCTGCACCTGAGCCTGACTACTCTAAAGGAAGTAAATTTTAAGCTTGTGACTGAAAATCTTTAATTAAAAGTAAAAATAATGGCCAGATCCAAAGATTTATTTTAATTGAGAGTTTATATTCTATGCTTAAAGTAATAAATTCGCTCTAAAACTTTTAGTACACATAAAACTTAGAATTTTTAATGATATTGTGCGTACAGTAGATAGGAAACTATTTATTTTTATACTTGAAACGAAGGATAATAATAAGTTCTCGAATAGAGCGAATACACGACTATGGAATATATGTTAATCAATGCCGTGTCGCAACTATTTAAAAATTATTAATAAATACTATTAAAAAATGTTCTAGCCACTATCATGTTATTTATTCGTATTACAAAAGGAAGAATATAATTTTACATAGTATATAAATCTTGATAATGTCATTAAAACGTAATCCTACAAAAATATTAATGCTAATATATATATATATATATATATATATATATATATATATGTATGTATACTAATGTAGAAATACCACATCAATCATCAACTACTGTTGATTATAGTACCGACATCAAGCATATCATATTCTTTAAGAAACGATGTAGAGGCATTGAAAGCACGTGGATAAAACGATAATCCATGTCGAAATTATTATCATCTCAATCATTGATTGAACTGCGGATAAAACACATTGCATAAACACTTGGACAATAAATTTATGAAAATAACGTTTTAAGACTTCTTTGTAATTATTCTTTGAATTGTAAGAAGATTCCGGTCCTTTAATACTTCATACTCGAGTAAAATAATGATAAAAAGTAAAGTAAAAGTAATTCCAACGTGAGCAGTCACGGTTTGTCGATCCTCGGCAGTGTTTTAAATCTTTGCGTCCGACGCTTCGAGCACTAATGTCTTCGAGATAAAAAGAGAAAAAAGCAAAAAGAGCAAAGTACGTAAACATATAATCAGCAAGCTTGAACTCGAAATTCATACGCACAGTCGGGCCCTAATTGAAACATTGCAATCCCAGCCTCCGAGCCCAGCCTTCGCTCGAAGGATCTCGTTGGGCGTCGTCGCGCCTCAAGATCCTATGTATTTTCACTTCCGTGGAAAAGAAAAGGGAAAGTGCGCAATGTCATAGAACGAGGACGAGTGCCGGGAGCGTGTTAGCCACGCTGGATGGTGGTGCGCTAGGATATCGTCCATTTTATTTGTCGTTTCACACGCTGCTTATCGTAACGTAAAGCGAACAAGATTGAGTTGCTTTGTTTGCTCGTAATCCTCACGTAGACAATTATTAGTTCATCGATACTTTCATATCTATCATTTGACTCGTTTCGCATTATTAATACAGTTTGAGTAATACTCGACCTACGTTGGACTTTCAACTCGGAATTATCCAACCAAAGCGAATTTCGACGACTATATTTGGATTTCAAAACTAACATTATTTCACCTCGTCCGAGTCCGAAAGTCTTACAATAATTCCAGGCTTCAACGTGTACGTAGATACATGCGTTTATATATACGTGTGTATACGTATAAGGATTGGCGAGCATTAAAAGAGCTTATCATTTCATTATGATAATAAACTACGCTATTGACGTTACATCGCACGAATATGTTATTATTGATATTTTAGATATTTTAGATATTTCTCGTGTTTTTTAAATAACCATATTATTTGAATATACGAAACAACGTATAACTATTTTCTAAAGTTACATTTATAATTTGTTGGCAACCAAAGGCAGAATGTGTTTATTGCTACGCCTAGTTAAAATAAACGGATATTAAAAATTAAAATGTTTAAATGGTAATTTACTAAATATGCAATAATATTAATTTTATAGTGGTTAAGCTTACTAGTTTCTTTTATTTAATAAGATATAATTAATGGCAGATCCGTTTTTCACTTACTTGATAAAATTTCAGTTCTTTTTTTTTTTTTTTTTTTTTTTTTTTTTTTTTTTTTGTAGCCGTAAAGCATTTAATTATGCTTTTAATAATAAATAAACAAGTGATGTGAAATTAGAAGGAAAATACGTTTTACGGTTTTAAGAAATGACAGTAATTGGTTCGTTTTATTATCTGCCTAACAGCAAAAAATTATATACTTGCAATGTTACATACGATTTATGCAATATAAAAATACAGTCATTTCTCTAATACTATAACACGAGTAAGATCTGCTACCAATAACTAAATGTTACAGCAACATTATGCTAAAACTAATTAGCCGACCTCTTTAAATACATTATGGCACTTTCAAGTACGAGCACGAGGATTAATTTAAAATAACGAAATGTAAAATAATAAAATGTAATTTTTAATTCGAATGAATTAAAATTAATAAAATATTGTTCGCCTAGTAATTAATACCATGTATTATTTTAAATTAAAATTATAACTTGGGCTTTTGGCATTGTATAAAGAATTTGTCTTTCTTCTTGTAGTATTAAGTTGTATTAGCATAATTTGATATCAGCATTATCCATAAGGAAATAAACATTTTATTATCTACTTATTATTATTGGCAATTTGATAAGGAACAAAGGAAAGCTTTGGGGATGTAAGCAATAATATTGAATTATTATGTAGAGAGTAATATGCTTTAAAGCTGTCGACGAACTGTGATTGTTTCATATTTTTGGACAAATTCATTCATTCTCCGTTAGAATGAAAATTTTATGCAAGTAATAAATACACACGGGAAAATTAAATTTTAAATATATATTGAAAATAAGTACATAGCTCGTGAAAATACATCACAACAGTTTTTAATGAAAATTACGTTCTCGGCTAAGATTTCCGTTTAATCATCAAGTAAATAAAAAAAAAAAAAAAAAAAAAAAAAAAAAAAAAAAAAAAACACCTTAAAATAAGTATAAATTTAACAGATTTTTTTTTTTGTTTCTTTGATTTCCTAACACAACTTTTGCCCCCAAAACATAATAAATTCTATGAACTATCTAAAATATCGCGACTTAATGTCTTTATATGTGCATATTATAGTTTGAAAAATAAAATTTGAAAAATAATGTATTTCTTATATTAAAGGGAATTAAAAAGCAGCATCGATGATAATGATCTAATGGTCAATAAAAGTTGGTTAAATTTACATTTCAGTATTGTTGTTAGCGCATTCGACGGGTAGGCTAATGTCCTTTTTTTCTTTTTCTTTTTAGTACAAAAGCAACTTGATGCACTTCAAGTGGTCTAATCAATGGAAGGGCAAGGTAACAAAAAGATATTGCCAACGACGGGTAGCTAATTAAGGAACAGGTGCGCGACGACATTTCGGACGCGAAAAAAATAGTAGATAAGAAAGCCCGTCGGCATCTTTCTAACGAACAAGCCAAAGGCATGGATTAACCGTTAGCCCGCGAGACGTAAACCTCGTCAGTCGGCCTGGCCATTGAAATGCTTACCGGACTTCCCGGAATTGGACTCCTCGATGGGCTGCAAGCTAGTGGCGTTCCTCGGCATCCTCGACTGCTCTCTGGGCCTCTTGTTCGAGTAGATCTCGTACCTCTTGGGGGGTCGACTCAAGCAGCGCGCACTAGCTTCTTTGTCCATCAAAGTCGCTTCTGGACCATCATAGTCGTCGTCGTCGTCGTCGTCGTCGTCGTCGTCGTCGTCGTCGTGGTCGTCTTTGCCGAGGGTCTCATCATCCAGTGGCTCGTGGTGCTGTCCCCGAGCATCGGCCGCGGCTTTTATCTTGAAGCCAGAATTATTATCAAGGAGCACATGTTGGGACGCGCGCGATACCGAGCCGGTCGCCACTCGCGCACAACCAATGATTATCGCGTCGAGGATGATGATACGGAGGAGGCAGCGGCAGCACTGGTGGATACGAGCGCGCGCTAGTCTCGTCGGGAGAGGAAGGCTGTCCTCCTCGGGGGGAGTCGTGGTGAGAGGAGGAAAAGCGATGACGAGGACGGGGAGGGGAGAGGCGGTCCCGGGATCATCGGGAGATGCGATCTCGGGCGCGAAGAGTCGACGGTGACGACGAGGGGATGAGTTATGAGGTACGTGATTCCTTTCAAACGCGTCGCACACGCTCGTTCGGCCACCGACGATTGTTTTGCGCGAATCGCGTAATGCTTCATGTGCCGCCGGTCGAGGAGTTTTTCGCGTTGCTACCCCTTCCTTACCGTCCCCTTCGATCCTACATTGCCAAACTTAAGTACGCGTTTCCTTGAGGCGGCCTTGCACTAGCGTTGTAAGTGCAAAATTTCAGAAATAAGATCTACCGAGAAAGCGGCGGTGGGAGCGTTTTATTTTATTCATTTTTCTTCTTCTGTTTTCTTTCTTCTACGACAGTATGCGTTCTAAAGTTTCATTTAAGGCTGCTCTGATAATGTTTCAAAGTGACTTGAGGATATTATAAGGCAGGTTCTGCGGTCGATCGATTATAAACATAAAAAAGAATACAGTTCGCTTTTGCGCGTATATAACACATGCAAAACTGTTGGAATACTTTTTAAGAAATTTCAAATATATTAATAATGACGATGAGGTAAAATTTATGAGATAATTATAGTAAAGGCTAGTTTGTATCGAGCCAAGTGATTTGAAATACCTAAGTAATATGAAATTTGATCAATATATTGCATTCGTTTAAGAATATAGTCATTGTATTGCAAAAAGTATAATGTTTGAATTGAATTAGGATGGTAAGCAATTGATAAGAAAAAAAAAACTCAAACTATAAATGTGAAATATTAATTAATATATTAGCACAATTTGTACAACCGTATAAGAAATAAATACTGAATTGAATTATCTAATAAATCGTTACAATTTCATACTATAATTGTTAAACCTTGTACAAAACTTTGCAAATAAAAAAAAAATTTTTTCTACTAGTATAATAGCATGTAGCGTATAATTTTATTTTATAATAGAATTATAAATAGTGTAAAATATTTTAGAATAGAGGGTAGTTTTAAAATATTAAAAAATTAAATTAAAAAACTTAATATTAAATCTTATAACGTGCACTTTTCATAATTATTAATAAAGCTTTTGACATATTTCTCGTAGTTTCTCATAAAAATACATCGTTTCAAAGATTTTGTATTTTCAATAACGATATAGTAAATGACCAATGGCATATCGCCGAACAACTTTCATTAACATTCGATTAGTTTATATAAATTTAAAATTTTTTTAACAAGTGCAATGCGTATATATGTGTCTTTGTCACGCATCCTTTGTATATCTATCTTTGTTTTAATATATTATCATAATGTTATTATCACTAATCATTTTAATATTAAAAATATATACTATTTTACATCCTCTGTTATCCTCATATATTTATTCATATTAAGATAAATTCATATAGACACGTGCGTGCCACTGATACTTATGCAACAAGTTTATTTATTTTGCAAAAGCAAAAAAAGTTTTTAAATATTATGAAATTAAGTTTTGAGAAGACCAAGATATTAAATTTATTTCTATTTGTTTATACAATACACGTGCGAATGCACACATCAGAATTATCATGCATAATTTAATGTTATATCATTATTACCCGAAAGAGAATAACGTTTGATATAAATAATTTCAATGATATAAATATCAGAGGCCTAGGAAATCTCAAAATTATCGTGAATCCTCAAGTATTATTAATTTACTTTTCAAATTGAAGCGTTTGAAGATAAAATGTTCAAAATAATATCGCTATTGTTCATGTATTGTCATTAATATTATTAATGTTAACGATCGCGCGTTCAACTATTTTAAGTACCTAAAAGATATGTAAATTCCAAAGGAAATTATGAATGACTATAAAGTGTATACGTTTATACGCGTACACCATTTGAAATAAAGATGGAGAAAGTGGGACGCCGAGATAGAGATGTTGAACATCAGTGAACGTGTAAACCTGATAGTGAAATCAATTGCGAATGATTTGTTGCGTATAATCGAATACGTGTGGCGTTTAAATGTATAAGACGAATGAAAATGAGTTTTAAATGAATAATTTGGCTGGCGTCGAATATTTGATGGGTTCATTATATGCTTGTATAAACTGAATTATCAAATAACATATACGTATTACTATATAATTTCGCCGATAATATTTATGGTATAGGATTTGAAAGTTTATATATTTTTTAATTAAACCAGTTTAATTTAATTATTTGAGAAAGATAATCAGAATGATAATTCGTCGCCTCTTACCGTCTATAATATCAAATGCTCTTAGACGACAGTACTTTACTTTAATATTTTTGAGCAGTGAAAATATACCGTAGACTTATTATGTAAAATACGAGCTTCATGGAGTAAGTTTTCACCTACTTAAATGTACACTTAAGTAAATTGTTACACGTAATAACGATGGGTATTTGTTCATTGTCTTTAAAGTAAAGATATTTCCAACAAGTATTTTACTTTTTAAATTTCGTACATTTTAATCACGTGGCGTTATAGTTTAGCATCTGTAAATTTTAATTATTTGCCGCATTTGCCATTCATCGTCTTAAGCAATTAATTTAGTAATGTCTGACGTAAAGTTGGCATACGAATAAAAGTAAGGAATTCACATATGATAATATAACATATAAATGATATAATATATTTACAGGAGGCTATTTAAGCACTCGTATGACTCTGTATATAATATTTAATATTTATTATAGTTTGTAATAAAATTTTCAAATAATAATTTACTTATTTTATAATATTAGAAAATGATATTCGCTTTAAAGTATTGGATTAGGCGACAGTTTAAATATATGAAATTTAGACTTTTATCGAAATATCGAGTGATAAAAATTATCGAATCTATCATTGTGTAAAATTTCAAGTATTAGGAAATAAAATTTCAAAAATGATATATCCGTGGCGAAAACATTGTTCAGCTGCATACTGTTAACGTCTGCCTGACGAAAACAAATCGAGGCAAAATTGACAGTTAAATTAAAACACTTTCTTGAAAAGGTTTCAAAAATCTTTTTACACGCTATTTGCTTTACTAGACTCCACCACTAGTATCAACATCAATAAGACAATGCTTAAATGTTTACAAACGTCGAAGCATAAGGAATCGACGAAGGCTATTTGTACTTGAAAGAAAAAAAAAAAAAAGAAAAAAAAATTACGAGTAAAAAATACCGTCTAAAAGTCGGCATTAGTGACATTGTAAATTCCACCTTACGATATATCTAATTTAGCGTTAATTTATTGCGAATTAGCTTTTTATGCTCAGATCTCGGTTTGGTAAGAAAACATTCATATCGAACAACTTACTTAGCCATGTTGATTAGTAATCACGAAGCTTATCATACAGCCACACTATTCGCCAATTGTCTTTAATGATTAATGAGAAAATAAACAGCACTGACAATCGATCATTTACTGCCGCTGCACATTACGAGCACATTTCCCATCGTCAACTAGATGCGTTACACTCGACCTTAAGAAATTGGCGTCACGCTTATCGACAGTGTTCAATAACAATAACAACAACAAAATCAACAACAACAACTACGCCAGTGGATGCGTCTAAGTAAATAATCGATTCGACCATCAGGTACGAGAGTCGTCAATTTTCCGTGAGCGGTGAGCGCAACAAAGCTGTGCGAGACTTTCCATTTCATATTATAAACAAATCATTAATAAAACATTAAAGCTTTAAAAACTTATTTAGAGTTAATTAAAGATTATCGATTCTTGTCGCATAAGCAATTGACAATAACAGTTTTTTTTGCTTTTGCTTCTTAATACAAAATTGGTATGAGCACGAGAAGAAGTTTCACTTGCTTTACATCACGAGAGATGTCCTGCTGGATTTAAACTGACGTCAAGGTAAAATTTATAGTAATTGAACGGTAAAAATTTCACACTACAACCGCCTATTTTTCATTCATTTACCTCTTAATACATAATGATTGATGATACAATTTATCATGTAACATGGTAAACTTTATAATAAAGTAATAAATCTTAAATTTCAAAACTATGGAAACTTGAGGAAATAAAGGTTAGCTTATCTTGAATGTGTTCGAGAGTTCGATTATTTGAAAATCTAACTACTTTCCATTAAAAAAAAAAAAAAAAAAAAAAAAAAAAAAACATATATAGCATAATTATTCAAACTCGAAATTGTAGGATCGAAAGCAGGTGAATTACAGAGAAACGGGTTATATTTTAGGTAGAATATTCGAGAAAAATTTGCATTGAAATTAAATTAATTCGAATCGTTGGAAAGTATAATAAAATGTAATTTTTTTTTTATATTTTTTATTATTCGATCGGAAAGTAATCTAACGTTCGATAATACTAAACGCCATTTGGCATTTGGAGCAACGTAAAAGCTCATTTTGAGTTGAAAGGATCGCTCTTCTTGCGCACGCTGAATCACATTATTATCGACCTAATGATAAGTCATGATTTCTCCATAGCCGATCGAATTTAAATCTCCATCCTCAAATGCCTCGGAAGCATTCGAGAACTCGTCCACGCACTTATCGAGAGATTTCAACGCCCCGAGAATAAAAAGATGAACTCGGGAAATCGACCGACTCCTGCACATTTCAAGTGATCGGACGCGCTCGCATTAACATTATACCTGCGTTCGAGACAAATGCCGCCCCTCCCCCTCCCACCATCCATCCATCCGTCCATCCATCCATCCATCCATCCATCCCCTCGCCCCGCCGCAACCACTCCGCCAATCCTACCCACCACCAGTGAGTTTAAACGCTTGCTTAGCACCAGTTCTGGTGTAAACACGCACGAGATCTCTTATTAATTGCTGCGAAAGAGCGGCGTTTTATAATGGAGAACGCAGACGAGAAAACGCGTTGTTGGATATACGCGTGTGATTGCCAGACAAGAACGTTAAGCGTTAAGCGATTCGCCTTATCTTCTCCCATTTCTGTGGATTGAGCCTTGCGTTAGGTCGATCGAGATATCATCGGATACCTTTCTTTTCTTACGTTTTTTAAAGCCATTAATTTGAAGCTAAGTCGTGTCGGATTTATATTTTTGATTTATCAAGGAAATGCTGCTCAGCTCTATATTAAGAATCCATAAATGTTTGTTAATCTTTAAAGTCTTCTTTTCTGTACCAAATAATGCAATTATAATTATGATAGCACTTGCGTTTCTAATCATTTTCGATGTATTTCTTCGCTTCGTTATACGAAATCTGATTAAATCGCGCGATCTTATGAATATACTTTCTGAAAATATTATCGCTGATGTGCTATTATGGCTTATAATTTGTCTTGCGAATTAAAATTGATAATATTTTAAGGAACGATGAATTAGGGATGGAGTTTGTAAGTCGTTGAGCATTCGTCGGAGCAAATTCAATCAAACTTGACGAGGAGCTCAATAGAACTAAGCCAAGTTTATAAAAAATATGAAATACCGAAGTATCATTAAACTCATTCAATATTTATTACTTTGTTCGCGAAAATTAAATGTAAATAAAATTAATATCTTACTTCTCTTATATTAATACCTTATAATGTTTAACAACAATTAATTTTTATAAGTAATATCATCATTATTATCTTAACAGTCTCCGATAAATATAATATAATAGTATAATCGGATATAACTTTAATTCGTGGAAGAGAGATGCTTTCGTAAAATCAATAGATCGCGAGTGGATTTACTTTGGGACATGTGAACTCGAAGACACTGCATTAAAGTTACTAAGAAAGACAGAATACTTGAGGATCACTCGCGCATATCGGCGCCTCTCCAAACATTTATGAAGCGTCGACGGATACAGTAACGAGATAAGAATAAACACCGAGAAGATACCATTGTCCATTCATATCGGATCAGTTTTTGCGTGAAGGAAGAAACGCGCCATTGCACCCCAAGTGGACGATGACCCGACAAGTGTGGCACGCGCGGGTCTCGTTCTACCAACTGATGAACATCACCGAGAGCTGGGATAAAAGGGACGAGATGCAGCTGGTCAGGTTGGAGGTCGATTTACCGTTCCTCATCAACAAGCTGAACACGCGACAACACCTCGAGATCATGCAAGTGCACGAGTACTATAAGCAACTACCCGACGTTTCTTAATTTAGTGTCATTAGCATTGGTACTTAGGAGGATTAATGCAATAATTTCATAGCTTTAGCTCTGTTTCGATTCTAAAAACGTTTCTTTCTAAACGCCTCTTTATTCAGCAACCTCCTTATTATTTTTTTTTTTTAATTCACAAAAACAAAAATCTATTCTCTTATACGGAAAATTATTGGGCTTGTTCATGTTTTTTTTTATTTTTTTTTATTTTTTTTTTAATTATTATTATTATTTTTCTTTATTAGCTTCGTATCTAGGAATATGAAAAATCAATATAATTTTAAAACGAACTTTTTTGCAGTGATAGTTTTATCTATCATACTCAAAAGTATGGATTTGAATTTTTTCTTAAAATTCATTTTATATGGACGGAAATGTGACACACAATCACTTATTATAATTCATATTCTTGTAATTTGCATAACAATATTTTTAATTTTGAAAGGAGATGATAATTCTAATAATAAATTCTATTTGTTTCACATTGGTCATTATAGATTATTTACTTTAATGAATGACAATTTCTACATTAGCATCACAAAATATCAGCGTAGTAAAATCTTGTTAATAAATGCATGTTTACTTTTGTAATATTACATCCTTTAAATACATTAAATAATACATAAATCAATAATAACATACATTATTGTTATAATTTGTGTAAGTATTCAATAGATCGTAGAATATACAATCCATTTATTAGATTTTAAAATTAATTTGATTTAGTTATTAATGAAAAACTAATTTTATTTTTATTTAAATTATATGGTTATATTTGTTTCTTTTTAAGCAATATTAAACTCATGTTTAGAGACTAGAGTTTTATAACAACAAAATTATCTAGCAAATTTTATCATAAAACAATCAATTAATGTTTCCATATAATCGTGATAATTAATAATTTTTCTAACAAAACATTTCCCACTATTAATCGAAAATTTCCTCTATACAACTTAATAATGATCATTGTAGTTAATTATAAGTTGCATAATGAATCAAATTAATAATAGAAAAATGTAAATAAAGTATAAAATTGTATTTATGAGTAAATGAATAGATAAAAATAACATATATTCTATATTTTTTATATAGTTGTTCAATTTAAAACAAAAGGTTTCGAACATTATAAATATAATTCATTTAAAATGTCAAAAAAATTAAGTACTAACAATCAAACAATGGAAATTAAACAAGATAATAATACATTTGCCCGACACGATTATATGTTAATATCGACAAATGTTAACGATAAAAAATCATCATCTTTAAAAACGGATGGTCAGATTTCATTAAACAATCTGAAAGCTGGGAAATTATCTCAAATATCAGGCATTGCTGTACTGTCTCTAAGTGGCAATGAAGCAAATGAGAATAAAGACATGAAAAATGAGGAAGATAAAAAAATTCATTCTGACATTGGTAATAATTTGGTAATGACAAATAGTAATAATATAATACCAGAATCTCCTGAACTTTCGTTCGGAAATAATTCTTCATATTGCAGCCAGAATGTATGCGATTATGTTAAATTGCTGAATTTTCCTAGTTCTATAAGTATTATACAATCAATAGCTAAAAGAACTACTTATTCTACAGAGCCAGAAATCAGTGAATGTTCAACAATATTGCAATCTGACACAGACAAAACTATTTCAGATTGCAATATTAAAGAAAATTATCTAGAATGTTATCAAAATTTTAATCAATCTTTACAAAATTTCACAGGATTCATGAAGGATACAGCTATCGCTGCTAGTGTGTCAGGTAAATATTACAATTTTATTATGCGAACACGATAACTGTAAATTTATTATAAGTCAAGCTAATTCAAGACTTAATTTTAGATTCAAATTCTTCTGTAAATCTTATATGTCTAAAACAAATTAGTAGTTTACAAACTGATAGTGACGTTACATTATCCGGTCTTAATACGACACAGACTAATGATGTAATTCATTCGGATCTGCATGCAAATAATCATTGTGACCGTGTTCCTGATGAAATTACTTTTATCGAAGAAGTTGTTAGTATGAAATAAACAGTTCCATTTAAGTTAATTACTGAAATATTTAAATGTGATTATGATTTTAAGGAAAATAATATGATTGTAGAAGAACTTTTAAATAATCAAAGCTTAAAAAAAGAATTTATTTTAGACAATGTAAAATTTGTCATTAATAATTCTATGTGCTTGGAAGAAGTAGATTGCATAAGTGACTCTATGCACGAACAATTTATCATTAGAGTCCTTCGTGACAATTTAGCCGTGAACAGTGTAAGGTCTAGTACAATTACCAATTCATCTTTCCAGTTATCTAAACAGGCACAATCTCTTGATATAAAAACATCAAATTTAGGTAAATTATTTATTTATGAGTGTATATATATATATATATATATATATATATACATATATGTATTATTAAATCTAAGATAAAGTAATAATTTCCATTTTGCTATTTTTTACATCATTAAAAATTAAGTAGATCTGTAGGAATTACTTATATTTCAAATAAACATTTTATGTTAAACTAAATACATAAATTACTTTATTTTGTACATATTAGGGATATAAATAAAATATACAAATTAGATATATAAAATTTAACTGTTACAGAATGTTACGAAAGGAAATTTTTAGATAATGGGTCATTGAAGTATAAAAATCAAATAAGTAATAACAATATTAAAAATAATCCGAAAAAGTTGAATGATTTCTATTCGCAAAGTACCCTGTTATCTTTACCACTAAGTCAAGAAAATACTGAATACGTATCTCTACCTCCAAGTATATTATTATCAAATTATTGCTGTGAGTACGATAAAGCATATGCCAAAAAAGATATAAAACCTATTTCATATAGAAATTACTATTCTGACAAGATTGTTAATTCACTAAAACAAGATTTTGATAAAATCATTACACCAAAGCAATCCTTACAAGAATTTTTTAATACAACAAATAACATTAGCGAAGAATTTGAATTTAATTTACATCAAACATTAAATAATATTGTATTTATGTTACAAAGTGATTCGAATGAAAGTATTACAATGACTGAGAATTTAGTTGTTTAAGCGTTTCTTTATATATTTATATTATTTCATAGTTTCATTTTAACAAATGCGTAATTGAAAATACGCAATAAGTCTCAGATATAATTATTTTAAAACCATTGTTAATAATTAGATCATGAACTGTAAAACACATTCACACTTATAAAGAATTACTTTACCGCAAAATTTTTTTTTATAATAATCTAAATATACTTTTTAATAAAGCATATCAACATAATATAATTGTCAATTCTTCTATAAATTAAAAAATAAGTTTCATTTATTTTTCGATGAGCCAAAACCTGAAAATCCCATTATTGCTGCCATTTCATCGATTGGTCCTGCATTATCATCATTTTTAATTTCGTCAATTTTTCGTTTTCTATCTTTCCTTTTTTCTTTCCTATATTCTTTCATTTTTTCTTCCTAAAATAGACAAATATAATTCTCATTACTAATACAATATTATTGAAAAATATACTTTTATCTTTATATCAACTGATCAAAAAATTAAAATTAAAATCTCTCAATAGTTTTTAAATATTAATAACTTGCCTCTTCTTTTAATTCTTTCACACGTTGTTCCAAATCATAATCTTTTTTTTTCTCTTCGCGTTTTTTTTTATTCACTGCAAATCTTGCTTTAACCTGTTCTAATGTTGAACGTTCTATTTTCATTGACATTCCCAAGTTTCGTTGATCTAATAATTTATTACGGTTATTACATTAATAGTATTGTTATATATGCAATTTAAAATTTTGTACATTTGATAATTAAACCTACGTTTCGTGCCATTGATATGATCAAGGAAGTTTATAGAATCTTTCACAACACAGTCGCAAACATTACAATAATACCTAAAATCATCAAAAGAATATTTTAAAAGATATAATTTTGAAATAATATCAATTATTATACGAAAAAAATTATACAACTTATAGAATGGTACTATCAGAAGAAAATTGAAAAAAAAAAAACTAGTTACAGAATTTTAATAATATTGGATTAAAGAGTTTTTAATTAATAATTTATTTTAATTAATAATTTATTTCAAATGTTATCGATAATATTATATTAATTAAAAATTTTTTTATACATAAGTAATTTACCCTCCACTTTGGGATGACGGAGTATTTTTATTGATTACAACACTTTTTCCAAGTTTTGATTCAAGATCAACTTTGTAATCTCGTTGTTTCAAAAGTTCTCTCTTAACTGCTGGCTGTTTTGGAATTCCAAGTTCTTCTTCTGCAATTTCTTCTTGTAATCGCTGCAAAGCTATTCTTTCATATTCTTCTCTATTCCACTTCCTTCGATGGTCATCGGGTCGCTGATAATGTATATAATAATAAATGTTCGTATAGAATAAACTAATATCAATAATTTAAATAATTAAATCATGATTATTAATTTCAATGAATTCGGGTTAAGGGAAGATCAATTTTAATTACTATTAAATGAAGGGGGCTTTATTCTAATTTAATTTCTTTTTAATCATATAATATGCATAATATATACATGTTTATAAAGATTATTAAAATATTTTTATAAAATAAAGGTACATTTAAATGTTAATATAGTTATTTACATTGCTTGTTAAATTAAAGAAAATACGAGTGGAAATTAATAGAATAAGTTATCACATATAAAACTTACCATAGACATTTTGAAATTTAAGATTTATATTCAATAAAAGTGTATAAAAATTTTAAATCAACGGTTAATGTTTTTAGAACAACACAGTACCATAAACACTATACCAAATGAAATTCAAAATACAATGAAGTACGAAGCAATAGAGCTGCGTTGTCTACTGTATCGATATATCGATATCGATGTACAATCGGTATGAACATAGTCGACAATGCATGCGAATATGTAACATATGAAATGACATTTTTATGTTCTCAATTTTTCGTATCGTGACATAGTAAACTTAGTAAACCAGAAAAGCAATAAATTCTGTTTATCGGACTATGTTTAATAATTTCACGGTGCATTATATTTATTTTAGTATATATGATTTATGTTAGAAATTAAAAAAAAAAAAATTTATAAACTAGTTTCCAGTTTGTTCAGGTGTATAGACTATGATGTTTAATGAAAACTGTAAATACATTTAAATTAAAAAATTTCAATAAATATTATGCTGATTACATAAACAAAGATAAAGAATGTTTTGTTCGTAATAGATCTACTTAAAAGACATTGTAAAATAAAAACAAAATTGTCAAATAGATACTTTCGTAATACAATATATTCAATTTGTTAAAAATGTTTGAAACGATACATTTTTTGTTATGTCTAGATAACTTCAATATACCAATTCATCTGAAATCTTCATCTTAAATTAGTATAACGAAAATAAATTTCAAAATTTACTTAAATACTATTATATGCTTCCCATTATTTAATTTAACATATCCTTAGTATGATAATAAGCCTTCTTGCACTGTGCAGATTTTGAAAATTCACCCGCAGGTGAATCTGCTATAGTTCCGAAGTAGAATAAATAAGGAAATTCTGAATGAATATTGCGTAAGCAAGGAGGATTATAATTAGAGATCTATAATAAGTATCTTCTACTGCCATTTCTCAAAATTCTGTATTGGATCCTTTAATTCATTATTTATTAATATTATGATAAAAAATATTTAATTAAACAATTGTCATATTTGAGATAATTGATATCTTGAAGTTTCATATGAGAGCAAGTAGGACTCAACCCATACATCATCAATTTAAATGCATTTATACCAATAGCTGAATTATATATTTTTTAAATAAATCAAATAAATTTTGTTATATATTATATAGTCGATAACTTATAATAAGTTTAATTAGTTGCATTCCACAAAATATTTAAACATTATGTAAACACTTAATTTTGTAATTAAAAACGAAAAATCTATTATATTTTAAATAATTATTATGACATAATTATTATTAAGAAAAGATAATATATATTTTCTATCAATTGCGGGATATTTAAATTAATTTTTGCGGAATATAATCAATGATTTTTATTAATATTAATTTGCAATTTTACGAATTTTATTTAAATTTAGTAGATACAATTTGAAATTATTAATGACGGTATAAATTAATATTCATTTATAATATTTACAATGAACTCTCTATAGTAATCAACACTAAAATGAAGATTCATTTTTTCGGGATGAACATCATCATCAGGAAGAGGAAATGTACCTCCGTTAACAGCTACAATTTCATTATTGTCCATAAGAGGTCCACCACTATCACCCTGTAATATAATATACAAATATTGTATAAATATTGTATAAATATTTAATTAGATGATGATAATGGAGTTATTTTATTTATACAATTCTAGAAAACATATTTAATTTATTTGGAAAATATTGAGATAGAATATAAGTGCATATTATCATCGTTTTAAAGTTTTCCTTTGTCCTTTAGTATTATAATACATTTATAGCTATGGATATTTTTATAAAGATAAGAATAGTCAACTGTATTTAATGTCTTATAAATAGATGTTATATAAATATTGATTATTTGTTAGGTTTTATTTTATTCACAATTGCTTTAAAGTATTAATTAGCTTTGCATGGAAAATTAATTATTTTTTCATAAGAGAAATTTCAAATGTAATTTGGTATTTGAATCGCATAAATCAATATTGAGACAGTAAGAAATTATAAGTTTAATATAGTTATTTCGGTATGTAAATTTGAATATTTCTTGTTTATTTTGTTTTATAAGTTATATTTCAGTTTTTATTATAGACGTAGTTTTAATTATTGAATGTAGCATAATGTGATATTTTGAATTTAAATGTTATTATGGTTTTAAGTACAATGAATAAGAATATTAAATCTCTCTCGTTTTACCATGGTTATTGTTTTGTTTTTCATCATTTTTTTTCTCTCGATTCTCAGATGTTCATTATATATACTTTTAATTTTATTTTAATTATGTTACGACTATTTATGAAAACGTAAAGGTACTCTGGTCAAATTAATTACGAGATACTTTAACCGAACATAGTTACATTAATGGCAGTAGATTCTAAATCTCAATTTTTCATTATTAATTATATGTTTTAGACATTTTAGTAATTTAAAAGTTTCATAAGATGCATTGTTCAAATTTAAATATTTAATATTTAATTATCTACGATTGAAAATATATTTTTAAAGAATTTAAGAAATAATAAAAAGCAATCAATGCTATTCGATATTTTAGAATCACATGTTGATAGAATATTTTTTTAATACATATTGTAATTTTTATATGACACTCGATTACTTATTTACGGTATAAAATAAAAATGAATATTAATATCGAAAACAGTGCGTACAAAAGCAAATTCTAAATAACTTTTATGTTTTTTTTTTGTTTTTTTTTTGTTTTTTTTTTTTTTTTTGTTGTATTGCATAATAGGCAAACAATTTCTTAGTAATATCATAAATAATCTTTGTAAAAGTGATGCTTACAAATTGCATTAATGCAAATGGCTGTGCAGAAGTACATAACATTTGGCTGAATAATGGAATATATATTTTTTCGAGTGCCCAAGCTATTTGTTCGCATACATTATTCGAGAGAATTTGCAATCTGACTATTTCCAAAGTTTCAGAAGTGGCGCCAGTATTGGACACACCCCACCCTAACATATCAACATTCAACCCATACAGTTGAGAAAGTGATTTGGTTGTAAGTGCCACTGGAATAATTGCTTCTGTTACATTTCTAGTTAACTGAAAAAAAAAATATTTCCTCTTTTAGATTTAGTTCATTCATAAATTAAATATTTTATAATTTATAAGCAATTTAATTATGTTTTACAATATAATGTTATAACGCCTGTTTTATCATGTGCAATATTTTTTAAACAATTTCATACCCGTATAATAGAAATGTCATTTAATTCATCATCTATGGTTCTAAGATTTTCTAAGCTCCATTGGTCAAACGTTTTATACCATAATGGAAAGTATCTTGTACCGTCCATTAAGTTTGTCGATCCTACAATTATTTCGATAAAATTCAGTTCCTCAAATTCTATACAATGTTCATTTGTTAAAACGTCCCTATTAGTTATCAGACTTCCCATACATTGGTGATCGGATTGTCGATCTGGATTCTCCCTGATTCGCATGATGGATACAATAAAATTATATCGTCCAACTGGTGCAGGTCTAACATTCTCGCCGATTATTGGATTCGCATTTGTAAATTTATATTGGTTCCCTAAAAAGAAGCAATTGATAATAATGTAATCATATAAATCAAATATTTATATTTAAGTCCTTGTTTTATTTTATAATTAAAAGCACTTACATAATATGGCGCAGTGACCAAGAAAAATGTAAAATTTAATCCACATGCTAAAAATCAAGATATTTAAAAATTAAATTAATACAAAATATTTATAATGTTTATAAGTAAAAATAAAGTCTTTATTAATAATTAATTTATTATTTAATAATAATTACATATTCTTCATAACACATTCATATTTAAATATATAATTGTAATACTGTTTTTAGATTACATTTATAATATGAAAATTAACCTGCAACTCATTTTATAATTACTAATTATAAATATTTAATTCTTTATCTATTTTGATTTGTTGATAATACTTATTTTTTCCTAATAAATATTTTAGGTTTTGTAGGAATATTAAATCAATATTATACAAATTTATATATTCTTACAACAAAACTATGGAAATGAAATTTTATATAATAATGTTGAGCAATTTTATATAAGGATGAAATAACCTAATATTGAATGAAATATCTAAACAAATTTTCTGTTACATTTTCAAATTAAAGAACATGATAACATTTTTCATTAAACATTATTTATTCAAGGTTTTATAATTCAATGTCTATTGCTTACACACACACACGCACGCACACACACACACGCACACACGCACGCACACACACGCACGCACGCACGCACACACGCACGCACACACACGCACATAAATATAAAGAAGTGAAAATAAAAATAAATTAATTAAAATCAAAAATAGTTTTTATTTTTTTATTAGCATTTCTTATTTTTATAATTCGATTATCTAAGTATTTAGTTGTCACGAATAAAAAGTAATTTGTTAATTTCTCAAAATATAATTGTTATAAATATTTGATTGAAAATTATATTCAAAAGAATTATATGTAAGAAATGATAAATAAGAAATACTCTATATATTTGCAACACTTAAAATTAAAATATTATTATTATATGTTGACAAATTTTTTTTCATAATAAATAGTAATATAAATAATATCGATTGATTAGAAACCATTTATCGAATTCATATTGAAATTTACTTTAACAATTATTTAGAAACTTCAAATTGTATTACCGTACAGAAGAGAATAATATTTAAAAAATAACTATACAACAAATTTTTAATTTTATCTTGAACTACATTAATTTAAATTAATATTATATCTAAAAAATGATTTAAAATAACGTTGAACCATACTTAATAATTTTTATTAATAACCGCAGTTAATGATTTTTTTTTATAAAAATGCTTAATCTTACCTAAAAATGTAATATTAAATTTCAAAATTCTTTTCATTCACTTATTTGCTCAATGCTTAGTTTTCCAACGATAGCAATTGATAAAATCATATAATAAGGAAAGTTTGAAATTGATTTAAATACAAAAAGTGTGTATTAAAATTAAATAGAAATATTATTATATAGAATTTAATTTTTATGAGTAGTTTAATAAAATTTTTAATGTAAACTATTTTTGATATTCTCTATTTAAATCTAAGCTTCTTATATAGCTGAGTATTTGTTGAACGACCGCACATTTTGTAATGCTAAAAGAAGATATCCCATCTATGTTTATTTAATACAATGACATTATAAGCAAAGAAAGATTACCATACATCTGTTATCAATTTCAAACCATTTGTTTTTTATTATTTCAACATTACTATATTTTTACTATTAAATATGTATATATATATATATATATATATATATATATATATATATATATATTTATATATATATATATATATTTATATATATATATATATATGTTTATTTTTATTTATTTATTTAATTAAATCTTATTTAAGTAAATTAAATAATTCACGAAATTCTGAACAGGCACAATTTATTTACACATGCAATGTAATTTATTCTGCACGTTAATATCGAGAACAATTAATTTATGCGCTTAAATTTCATTATATTTAATAACACAATTTTCTGAAGAAATTCAGTTTTTAAATTCATTCATAGGATTTAATGGATTTCAAATAGTATTATTTACAATCTCTTGGCACACACACACATATACGATAATATTATGATTGCTGGAAATAACATGAAAAATAAATTATCATTGGTTTAAATACAGGTAATTTATAATCATACTTAAATGACATTAGTTCAACTAATTTGTTTTCAACTAAGAAATTATACTTAAACTGTGTATGCAATAAATATATATTATTTATTTTCTCTTTATTAATGTTGGTCCTCGATGTGAGTCAATTGCCTTTTGTGTGCTGGTTTAAAATTGTAATACTTGTCATTATATTCTGATTGAATTCTAATTATAAATAAAATAGGTCTCGCAGTCATTGATAATTTCTACATTTTTCTATAATTTACCTAAAGATACGATACATATATAAATATTTCTGAAATAAAGAATTTTAATCTTTTTTTATATATATTTTTATTTCATTAAATATAAATAATTTACTATTTAGGAAATTTAGTCATACTTTTTAGTCATATAATTAATTATTTGATTTTGATAATGCGATCATCTATTTTAAGCCCTCCTAAATCAGAAAGATTTTCTCTCTTTACTCTCTCTCTCTCTCTCTCTCTCTCTCTCTCTCTCTCTTCAATTAGTAATTCATTAATTTCTCAACCTTTGATTTATAATTACCTTTGATATAAAATTTAAATAATAGTTTTTTTTCAATTATATTTCAATTTATTTATATTAGCATTCATTCAAATTTCAAACAAAAATTTTATGTAATTTGAAAATTTTTTGATTTATAAATTTTAATTAATATAGGGGTTTTCGTCACTAATAATTAGGATATAACTACAAGTATTCGAAAGCAATGATTGAATTTTATTTTTTAAGCTTTTGATCATTATTTCTTTGTTATTCCTATGCTCAAATTGTTTTATCCAACGAAGTTGTATCATTCGGCTGATGCATAAAATTGCATAAAATGCATAAAATAAATGCAAAAATTTATGTTACCCATCGATCCAATTTAATTAAAAGATTCTATCATAATCATATTAATGCAAAAGAAAAGCTTTAATATTTTATGATCAAAACACTATAAACAGAAATTTAATCAAATATAGTTCAAAAACATAAAAAACTTGTGCTTCATTTACTTTTATTAATAATTTTTTTTATAGTATACATGAAAGTATCGCCATGAATTTTTGATGCAACACTTATAGGAATAATTACTCTAATATCACTACGGGTTTTATTTATTTATTCCTATTGCTGTTCACTTGTCTTCTTGGATTTCAACTTTTTTTTTTCTTTTTCTTTTAATTCAACGTTACTTTTAGAGTTATTATTCAAAGCAAAGCGTCATCTATCATAATCCATATATAGTAAAGCAAAGTATTATGATTTTGTTTACAGTGAACGACTTATCGTTATAACAATATTTACCACGTGTCTTACTTTTTAACATCGAATATTTGAATAGTATTTATTTAAATTTCAGTAATCAAACTGAAATTTCATGAAAATAATGCATATTTCGATAATAGATATCCCCTTTTTAAATACGTTAAATATTTATTTTATATTTTATAAGGCTATTTATTTACTTCAGATAGATTTGTTGCACTTGTTCCATTTTAAAAAATGCATATGCTCCTATTTACTGATAATTTTTTATCCAAATTGATAAAAAAATCACTTTAGTATTTCCATAATTTTCATTATATTTTAATACCATTAGTTTTTACTTAGAATGTATTGATAACATATTTCGAAATAATTTTATTATATCTTATTTTTACTGCACATCATACTAAAATTATAATATATTTAAAATATGTTTAATAATAGGCTTTTCTTTAAGCTGTATTAAATCTTATTTTTATTTAAAAACAACGAAAAAATTTGTATGAATTTTTTTATGTACATATGCATAGTTTTTGACTAAATTATCTAGCGCAAGTGTCGCGATACATTTTTAATTCAATTTTGATTTCATTAATTTTAAAAATATATTTATTTATTATTTTTTTTTAAATAAGAGGAATGATATTTATTTTCTCAAAATAGTGCAATAATAATTGAAATTTTGTAATAACACAACTTTATTTATTTAAAAATAATAGATATCATTACATAAATATTGCAAAATACATATTCTTATTCGACATTTCTTATTAATTTTAATAAAATATAAATAAATAAGTCTATTTATTATGCAGAAATAATGCAAAGTAAATATCTCTCCCTATTATTATTCAAGGTAATATTTATTAAGGCATTTACAATCAAATTTCTTAATAGTTTACATGTATCTTAAGAAGCTAATATTACCATACATAAATTGCAATATTGGTCAACTAATTAACACTATATTTATTTAAATTTACACTTATGACGTAATTAAATAACTAACAGTAAAAAAAAATAATTAAAAATATACATACACGATTTTACAAGATATTTTAAGCATTATATAAATAACTTAATTAGCTATATTACTATACTCTACTATTAATTTAATAATATGGAAGTACGATAAATTATATATAATACAATTAACGATAAATTTTTCCAATATCTGGCCACACAGTATTTTAAGTTTCACATTTAAATTATGCATAACAAATTCGAGAGAACGTAAAACGAAGATTTAATTATTTCTGTTTTGTACTGCATCAGATCTGAATTGTTAAGGATAGATTAATCTTAACTTACATATCAGATCTTATTATATAACGAATATTTATAATAATATTAATCATGTTATATTACCAACATTTTATTAAAAAATATAAAATCCATGCGTTTTGTTTTCCTAAATAAATTAAACCAATACTTCAAAACAGCATATTTTTGATAATGATTAACAATTATTTGCTTTATGTTATTGTTATTTATCGAAGTAATTGGTGTCTGGACTTTTTTTTTATCAATTTTTTTTTTTTTTTTTTTTTGTATCTTATTTATATATATATATATATATATATATATATATATATATATATATATATATCAATTCGTTCAATAAATTAATATTAATATATAATTTTTTAATATTTTTTTTATTAGCAACGATCATTATTTAGAATTAGACTATTTTTTAATGAAAGATATTCATTAATAATTTCTCAAATACAGACAATTCAGATGTTTTGACAATAATTATTTTACTCTGTAAATGATTTTTAAATATATAAAAACAAATCTGACTGAATAACAATTATTATAACTAACAAAAATAAATTATCTACAAAGGCAGTCTATTAACATTCCAAGAAATCGAAAGGGAGATCATCGGATAAGGTAACACCTAAATTTGTTATTACATCGGATGCTACTTTACAGCCCCACTCTAAACAAGTTTTTGGATCTCTACCAGTGATCATACCAGCTAAAAAACCAGCAACCAAAGAATCTCCAGCTCCAGTTGTATCAATGATAGGTGATCTAGGTTTGACTGGCGAAACCTGTGCAGAGCAACCCTGACCCCAAACTATAATTGCAGGATCGGCGCCTCCTTGAGTCATAACAAATATAGAGTCATTAGACAACCAATCACTACTCAATGAATTCGACGCACTAATTGTTACGCTTTTCAAATTGTTTAGAAGAAATGGAATATCTGTCACATTTTCAAATTCAAGGTTTAATGAATTAGCTAAAGCTATCATTTCTTTTGCATTTCCAAATACAATTTTAGCTATACCAACCATTTCACATAAAGCTGCATGATGATCCTGGAAAAATACAAATTATTTAGATTCTATTCATAATTTTATTCACAGTTTTGAGTTTTGATATGGAATTTTGAAAGATATTACTTTAAAGATATATGTCGCACTAAGATTAAACGCTGTCACAATATTTCTTTCCTGAGCCTTCTTAACAACTTCCTTGGCTACATCTAAACTGTGCGTAATGAAAAATCCTTCTATGTATATTACTTTCACTGAATTGAATGGTAATTCTAAATGTTTCAGATCCTCTAAAGTAAATATACTAGCAGCACCTATGTTTGCAGCTAAAGTTCGGTAAGCACCTTTTATTATAGAAACACAAATTCCAGTTGGAAGCGTCGAATGAATTACATATCTAAATAGTAAAATTAGGTGAAAACTTTTTTTTTCTTCCAATTTTGTCGTTTCTTTAACATACCTTGCATCAATATTTGCAGCCTGAACTAACTTTTCCAATGTTTTTCCTCTAGAGTCATCGCCTAAACCACCATAGTAAACACACATTTTAGAACTATTTAGATCACCACATAATTTTTGCAATATTCTCATGGTATTTTGAGCAGATCCTCCGGCCCGTGTTATTATTTTGGATCTACGAAATGATTTACATAAGATTAAGTATAAGGTTACAAGATATACCTATATTTTTAAAGTAATATTTGATTTTTAACAAATACTTCAAATATTGTATTATCATATTACTATCAAAGAATGTACGCATAAGTAGACAAGATATAGAACATAAAAAGAGGACTATCTTAACAATAAGAAGAATTAAGGTATTCTTTCCAAATGTAGACGCAATACAGACAAATTACAAAACAAATACACAGAATTTCGAGGTAATAAAAATAGAATATTAAATAGCAGTATAATTTGGTACAAGAACTAACATTAATATATAAGCTTATTAATTTATAAAGACTAACATTATAGTGCAAGCAAAAATAATTACTTTTAATAGTTTAAAAATATATTATTCCTTTAAATAATGAGATTCTTTATAGTTAAAGTTAATAATATAAATGAATGTACTATTAATTTAAAAGAAACGATTATTTGAAAAGTATTATAGTTGCTGTTGTGTCATAAAATTTCAGAAAAATTCATTCCGTCACAAATTATAACTTACTCATCCGTCAATTCAGCACATAATTGATTTATATCTTTTTCCTTGAGTTCAATTTGTGCATCTAATGTGAGATTGTACTTTGATACAAGATTATTATCATCATTGGATATAATAACATCCAGCAGTGGATTGCCAAAAGCCATCGCGACTGGATGTTTAAAGTTGGCGACTATTTCCTTCATTGACATTATGATAATATCTGTAATTAAATATATATATGTGTATTGTAATTCCTAACAGTGAATATTTATTTTATTAAAAAAAAAGAAAGAAAAAAAAAACAGAAAAAAAATATATATATATATATATATAATATATAATATTGCATATATATACATATGTGTATATGAATAGTTATAAAATTTATTTTACTTCGATGTGTGAAATGAAATTTTTCATTTTTGTGTCATTAATGCAGCGTGACTGTGATAATTAATTACATTTTACCGATGACATTATCGCAATGTCAAAATACACGATTAGTCGTAACTTTTCCGAATGCCATGAAATTGATAATATAGCTGACTATTAAACATGGTTGCCCTCGCACACTAGATAAATTCAAAAATTTACCTCTTTAAATCAATAATAATTGTTGAATAAACGCCGAACTTTGGAGCCGTCGAGAGATGAGAAGACGAGAAGTTTTATAAACTTAAACGTATATTCAATCACATGATTTATCCTTCCAACAAAGTCTTCACCAAGTTATTATGTTTGGACTTGCGCGTGGCACACGCATTTCATCGCTCATGCAGGGGAAGAGAAACGCGCGCGCGCGCTTAATTTGAGGTCGAGCATGTGTAGTAATTTCTATCTTATTTTGCCGTTCGCACCCGCAATTATATATTTATATATTTTTGTCTTCTTTTTGTTAATGTTTTTGGAGAAATATAATGCAGGCACTGCCTCGCGACAGCCCAACTATGCGAGCGTAATGAACGTTGCTAGCAAGCGATTAATACCGAGAGCAGAAACGAAAATTTTTTCAATGCTCGTATCATGTATGGGACATGTATCAGCTGTCTTTCATGACTGTTAATTTAAAATTGTCGACTATTGTGCGTTATTGGGTAAACAGCGATGATTGGCATTAATATTAGTAACTGTGACAGCAGCCTTCGATGCTTTACATTGTTTGCCGTAGTTTATTTTGAAGTTGATGGCTTATGAGTCAATTTATTTGACCTGTAAAAAATTCTATATTATGAAAATAATTAATGCACTGCTTTTGTTGTTTTATGTGTGTGTTCGTGCGAGCGGTCGCGGGCACTTATAATATTAAAATTAGTCACTGCAGAAATTTTGTTAATATAAGATTTTTCAATGTCAGGAAACTTCACCGACACCTATAACAACGACACATAATATGTTATACTTATGCTTACTTATGTTAAACTTGAAATGAACTTTATTGATTTAAGAAATATATAATATAGCTCGATATCATTATTGTTAATTCAATTTAATTCAATCGAAACGATTGCTATTTCATTTCAATTAACAAGCTCTTTATAAAAACATTTCAATTCAAACAAAATAATGGAATGTTCGTAGATTTTGTTCTTAGCATCATTTCATTATTATTTGGTATTAATTTTGTCATAAAATAAACGAATCCTCTTGCGTTAAATATACCAAGTCAATGGAAAATCAATTCAAATTATATTTATAAATTATAAGATGTATTATAAGCATAGCATAAAATATTGATTTTTAATCTACTTATAATAGCGAATTATTTTAAATGTATAATTTTATAAAAAATAAAATTAAAAAATTCTTTACATATTCCAAGATTATGGATGGATGGTAGGATTTACGTCATACATTTTTTCTATTTATAATCTGAACTTTTTATCCTTTTATATCATTTCTCTACATTTGCTGCAAATTTTGATAGAAACTAGTTACAACTGTATTATAATTCATATTGTGCAATATTGTATATTGTTACGAAGCCGTTATTTATTGTTCTATTATTTGAAAATTGCTTTATAATAATCATCATATCCATAATTTTAGTGAATTATATTACGTAGGTGTGAAATGTAGAGGTTCGTTATAATTTTTACAATTGTCGTATTATTTTCGAATGCGCGCGTGTCTGCATATGCATACATGCAGGTGTAAGAAGTCCATTTTAAACTGCAAGTCTATAAATTCATCATTTTTCATATTTATTATCAAATATAACCGTTCCACTTGTGTATATCGCTATACAATAAAATTATTTATTAGTAGTAAAGTCTTGAAAGTTTAATTACAATTTAATTTATGTTCATTAACAATCGATTTCTTTAATACCTTATTATAGTTTTAGGCGGTTTGTGTAATTTTAAAAAAATACATAGATCTGAAATAATGATCTTCAAGTCCATTAGAATTTGAACGTGTAAATACGTAATTTTCATTTAATCATCAATTCTATTATCTACTCACATTTTCTTAAAAATTATATAAATATATATTCGTCATATCCAATAAGTTCTGAAATTTTATGTCTTATATAAACCATATTCTATAATTGCAATGATGGTAATAATAATAATAATAATTGTAAATTAACAATAAGATTAATATTAAAAAGTAAGGTAATATCAATGATGTGTGTGAAAACCGATTACTTTCGACTTCTGAATTTTTATACTCATTTTCTTTGAATATTATCTATAATGCCCAAATTGACAAAACTAATAATGGAAAACTTTCATATATAAATTTCCAATCGATTAGGAATTTTGCAAATGTTCATTCAAAATGCATCATTCAGTTTCTTGTAAGTCACGCTTACAAAAGTATCTGGCCGAGGACGTTGCCTATTTGTCGGTGCCAATGAAAATATCAACTCATACATTATCGTTTGCTCTAATATTTTCTTACAGATGATAAATAAGTAATTTACACTATTAATTCATCGCGATGAATAAAAGATATGACAAATATAAACGCACGTTTCGATGATTTTGTCCGCTTAAATAACTCAGCCTAATTTTTTGCTTCAAGGCGCGCTTCCTCACGTCGACTTCCTCGATGAAACGTTCCCTCTATTATTCTACAAACGTATGCGAAATACTTGTGTAAAAATATATACGTTAAATCTCCTCTACTCCGCCTATGGAAAAGAGTCGATTATAATGCAAATCGACCTTGAAATAGGAGTAAACGAATTGATTATCTCACAAGGATTTTCGATTCGTAAACTCATGCGACCCACATAAACTGCATCTGTTATGATTTCTGTTTGCTAACGTTATCTCCATTATTTTAATGTATGACTTTTTTGATTTAAAACTTTTGTCTTATCATTTCAATGCTGTTGACAATTTTTGTTCGAATTAAGATTATTTCGTTGCAATTAATCAATTAAATCATTTTTTACTAATTATTATCGTATTTCTCGTATAACGTATCAAATCGAAATTTTTATTAGAGCTACGATTTACCGACGAAAACAACAAAGATCGCGAAACAGTCGAATGCCAATTATAAGAACAAAAGTGTTACAAGGACTCGACTTCGTTATACTATTTGTATGCAATTAATAATTATATATAAATATAATATCATATTAAGCCATGAAAATAGTGATAAAAAACTATTGTAGGTTTAATGAAAATGATTGTTAAATACAATAACAAATATCATGTTTCATTTGCTAAATTAACACATTAATAAAATATTTGAAAACAATCGCTTTTACATGTACATAAATAATTTGGTAATCAAAACATATATTTATACACGCATATACAGAATGTAATATACAAATTGAAATATTAGTACAATTCTATATAATTAAATAAAAATAATTATTTCATTCAAGTTTTAGTAAATTAAATTTTAAGTACCATCCATTAGTCATAATTATTAATTTATCTATAATTATTCTGATAATTTTAATACTTTAAGCCATATTCCATTTTCAGTACTGATGATAAAACTTCTTTTACTGAATTTTATTGGTATATCTGTTTTTTCACAAGTTTCAATCTTGAATGTTCGTAAAAAAGAAATAATTCCAACTTTGGTTTGCAATTGCGCAAATCTCATACCTATAATAAGAAATTTATATGGATTTTTACAACAATAAGATTTATTTCATAATATTCAACAAGTTATTAATCTTAATCAGTTATTGATGAAGAAGATTTAATACAAAATTTATGCGATTTATTTTAGTAATTTAAGAGATTGAATTAATAAAGCTATTTCATTCAAATCGTGTGCAATGCTTTTATTTTTATTGTCTATATATATATATATATATATATATATATTAAATATGTACGTAAATAATTTTTTATGAAATTCAAATTTTTTTAAATAAATCGAACCTGTCCAATTTATAAGAATTGAGCTGAAATTTTTTATTTTTAATTTTAAAAACTCTTCGATCATTTATATATAATTTATAAATTTATGTGGAGTTATTATTAAAAGATGTACATTAAAACATAAGCTGCTGTAAATATAAAATCCATTAAGTAATTTTGTCAAAACGTAGTTAAACCACTCACGCTAGCACACATTTATATTTTCTAAACATCTTCTTTTGAAGCATAAGCTTAAAAATGTTTATGATTGATATTATGCTAATGTTTAGTCAAGATCGGACGAAAATTTTTCTTCTAGAAAATTAGAATTAATCGCTTTAAAGAAACTTACCGATGCACGATCTCGGCCCTTCCCCAAAGGACAAATAGGTGCACGTTTGAAGAGTCTGCCTTTTATCGTCCTGAAACCGTTCGGGTCTGAAGGAGAAAGGATCGGGATAATAATTCGGATCATGATGAATGCCGTAAACTGGTATAATCACCCTCATTCCTTTGGGCAGAGTGACATCACTGCCCGGCAGCTTATAAGGCTGCTCACAGCATCGCGAAATTGATGCTGCTGCTGGATATTTACGCAATGACTCTATAAATAAACGATAATTATAAATTGTATCTCTTAATCCTATTGAAATGAATATATATATATATATATATATATATATATATTAGGGTGAGGGCGAATATGAAAGATAAAGTTAATTTTTTCAAGCTAGTATTTATTACAGCTTAGAGGTTCCATTAATCAAAATAAGTATGAAAGTCTTAATTCTTATAAAATAAAAAAATTAAATTGAATTACCAAGATATTTCATAAATTTAACTTGATAATATATGTTATATAAATAAAGCATATGTATATAAATTTTAATTTCGACATTGTTTATCATAAATGTAAAAATTCAATACTTAATAGAATTTTTAAATATACCTTACCTAAAATAACTAAATCTAGGTATTTCATGTCTTGAATAGCATCGTACGTTAATTTTCCATCGCTTTTTTTCAATGTGTTAATTATATCACACCTGACTTTTTGTTGAATTTCTGGATTGAGTGCTAATTCGTATAAGCAAAAAGCTATTGCATTGGCGGAAGTATCGTAACCCGCCACAAAAAAGACAAACGCTTGCGCCGCTATGATATCTTCGGTCATAACTGAATAAAAAGTTAATACGATTATTAAACGATATATATATATATATATATATATATATATATTTCTATAAGTGTGATTTTATAATATAATTAAAATATCCTTTGTAAAAACGTCAAAATTTCATCATTATTCATATCAATCGTTTGGCAATTTCCATTTATATTTATTCGTAATTTTACAACATTATTGCAATTGATTCGATTACATGATTATCAAATAATATATTTGTAGTTGATTAGTGATTGTATTATGCCTTGTGTGCTTGTAGCGCATATTATATTTGAATTATTTCGTAAAATATATTATAAAGGTTATTTACGATTAAAACTTATTTTTTTCTTTGCTTTTGTTTAATTACATGCAACGATTTAAATTTTAAGTTGTCAATATTAATATGAATTTATTTAACATATAAAACCAAAACTATGTATTCATATCAATTTATTTGGTCAAGCAATTTATCGTAAGACTTAAATGAAACATTTTGTAATAAATTACTATCTATATATAATATACCTATTTCTTCAGATATTGTGTTTTCATTCTTCAGCGCCTCTGCGCCAACATTAATGTTGAGCTCGTCGGTTTTTCTTTTCAGATCAATTAGAAGATCCATAAAATCGTGTCGCTTAATATGTTTGCTTTCTCGTTCCTTAATCATTTGCGAGACGGCGTTCAAAAAAAATTTTGTAACCGATGAATCTACCATCTATGCAGTACAATAGTTTGATAATTATTTAAATATACAAATTAGCCAAAACCTATACTAATCAATAGTTTCGAGTGATTTTAAGTTAATGTAATGTGAAGAGCAGAATTCTAACGAGAACGTATGCAGTACGAATATAATATCTATTGGAGTAATCATTGGCTAGTAATATAACACTTTCTAATGCAACATACTTGAATATTGAGTAACTTGTATAATTTGGGTGGGGCCGATCTTAACATCCTCCAGAATGCGTCTTTGTAGCTCGAGTTTGAGAATTTCCTGGCTATCCTACGAAAATCCGAATCCTCGGTAAGTGCACTTATCTGTATACCGAATGCGCAGCTGCCGATCACATCGACCGTAAAATCCATGGCCAGATCGTGCGTGTTGATGATGGCGGATGGGTCCTGGCCATGCGAAGAGGCGAGCCGTCGTTCGATCTGGCATACCAAGTTCTTTGAACATTCGTTCAGCAAGTAAAACATGTTCTTTAGCTTGCCGGACGAGAAGACTGGCGTGAGTTTCGAGCGCATCAACTTCCAGGGCTTGCCTAATTGCAAAAGATTCGCGAATAAAATACGTTAAAGTTTATGTAGTTATTGATATCGAATGTTGGGAGCATTGAAATGGCGGACAAAGAAGAAAGTGAAAAAATTCGAATTTCGGCTTTTCGAAAGCTGAAAAATACATAGCATTACTCCATCAAAGGACAGGTTTTTTGGTTTTTAATATTAAACGATTGCTAATTGCAATATAAACCGTGTTATGTACTTTAGATTTATTAAAAATAATGAATGTACAACGGGAAACGAAATCAGAATAATGCAACAAAAAAAAAAAAAAAAAAAAAAAAAAAAAAAAAAAAAAAACAGCAAAAAACATAACAAAACAAAATTACTTAGCGATTCGTTTGAATGAATGAAATGTGAGAGACCTTAAATTTTTTCATTTTCATATATCAGGATAACAATCTGACTTCGTTACAATTTTAAGACTTACACTCGAACACTTTGTTTGGAAATCCCATTATTTACCTGAAAATTTTTTATTTGTTGCTTGGAATGTACATGTTATCTTAGAATGAAAATATGTAATGTGTGGTTTTTAAAATCTGATAAATAATTTTCATAAAATGGAAAACTAATTTTTTATTCATTATGGCCGAAAGTGTGGATTAGTGATTATGTAGTTTATTTTTATTATTATTGTTGTTGTCGTTGTTGTCGTTGTTGTTGTTGTCGTTGTTGTTGTCGTCGTCGTTGTTGTTGTTGTTGTTATTGTTAAAAAGAACCTCGTATTAATAACAAGGCAATAAATATCATCTATGAAAGCATTACTTAAAAGCATTGTTTCTGTGAATTTCATCCAATGTCATTGTTTAGTGCACATTCGAATAAAGCCAAGTATAATTTGAACGACCCTCTCAATATTTTATAAAATGACTGTCCAAATAAATGATGTCCACCCCTCCGCCCCCAATGATAACCAATTGGAATAATGAACGCACCTTCGAGATTGAATAGATTCCCCGTCAATGGATTATTGTTATTAACTGGGATCCCCCTATTGCAAAAGATTTGGAAGTCTTTGATGCAAATAGACTTGATGAGCTCAGGATCGCGGATGACGAGGGCCGGCGAACGAATCTGAAAGACCCCGAAGTATGGCTCGTTCTTGAACCAGTTGTACATTTCATAAACGCCCTCGGGCTGGGATTTAAGAAAGAGAAGGACATCGGCGAAGTTTCCTAGGAGCGGTATGGGCTTGCGATAGGGCACACCGCGCACCAGCCAGTAATCGAAAGTCGAGGTCTGGTAGACGTAGAGCGCATACACGAGTATCGCGACAATGAGCAGCGTCGCTTCGAGGGGCCAATCATTCACCAGGGATAACATCTTCGTATCTTCGTTAATTATCTGTGAATATGTTTATGATTATTGCAATCGTTTGATCACACGGCACTGTCTTTTATTTATTATAAAGCTTATGTTACGTGTTATAATATACAGTTCCTTTACTTTCTCGCACGTTCTACAAAACTTTCTTTCATTTTACACGCGCACGCACACACGCATATATTTGTTTTAAAGACTATTGTAAGAAGTTGATTGAAGATCAATAGGCTTACCATAGATAACACATCAATAATGCGTTATCTATCACGATGAGTCTACTGAAAATGGAAAACGATAACATTGTGCGCCATTTCACGATCCCCCCCCCCACACAATATCGAATATTTTATATTTCATTTATAATTTTTGATTTTGTTTTTGTTTTCAAGTAGTTGAATAAAACAATAAGCAGCGCCTAGACTGTCGGACTTTAAATATTTTTTAATTCGCAATCATTTATTAATATAATATTAAAGTAGAATTATAATGCGCCGTATATTCGAGTTGAGTTTGTAAAATTACTGGAAACAATTGTGTTCGTAGAGTGTTGATAATTTTAATTAACTTACTTTTCATCTCATAAATATTTATTTTACCGTAAATAAGTTAAAGTTAATTGCTTGTATATTATCGGATAAGATTATTAATTTTATTTTAGTCTTAAATTAATTTTGACTTCACGTAAAAATAAAATATATTAAAAGCCTTTTAGGCCATATTTTTTAAAAATCTTTCGATTACTTGAATAAGTATCGCGGCACAGATATTAGTTTATCCAATTACTTATTGCAAAGTAACGCCTTCGAATAAATATAATTTGCCAATATTTATCGAATGGATTACGAATCGTCAAGTCTTTATCAAGTCATTTATCTTTCTTATTCATTTAAATATCAAAAATATAATTTTTTCTTTTACGTGCCTTTTATCGAGATCCATTGAATCCAATAGATCTATTCTACGAGTTAATACGTGGGCGTAATATATTTTCGCAATACGGAACCAAATTTATGAATAACATAATTACTATAGAAATAAAACACATTATCTCTGTGAGGAAGATTTCTTATATCAATTTAAGAAGAAAAAAAATTATAATATAAAATCCTTATGCGCGGATATTTTAGCCTTGGAGAGTCGAGTGAGTCACATCTACATCAAAATAAACGACCTCTACAAAAAAATCACCAACTTCACACTATTTTTTTTTACCCTTTTACATTGTAGCACCCGGCAGCATCGTATATAAGGTCATAAGGCGAATCGCTCTGTGCTGGACTCAACAATTAGTCGTATTTCCGAAAATAATTGGCTTACTTAAGGGTATCGTACAAAATTCGTCGGTTAGAAATTTTTACACTGCAGTTGCTTGGACGCGTTTTGACGACTCTTACCTTGACGAAAAAGCTTCATCGGCGAATTCGCGACAGTGTCTACTCGGTCTTGGTTGTTCCGCCACGACTTCTGACGTTCCCTACGCGTCGTATGCAGAGGCGCTCACCCCCGTCGGCCCCACTCTTCGCTTCTCGCACACTTCCGCAGCCGATTGTATTGTCGTGCGTGATGATTCTTCGTAAATAGAGGGCGTACGCAGAAATTATATTAACCACGGCTCGGTCATTGTTATCTAACCGATGGGAAACCGTAACCGCTAAGGGCAGCCGTAGACGCGCATCCTTCAAGGCGTCGCCGCAACGAATCGGTCAGACTCTCTCGTGTACACTTTTTACTACGGCCCAATTAATTAGAGCGAGATGCACAGTATGAAATTTGTTGGCAATGTATCGTGGTGACTGGGGGTAAAAAAGTGCCGCTAGAGAAATGAATGCTGAATCGACGTGTCGTTGTGTGGAACGGCTGCTTCTACGATACGACGATCGATGAGTTTATTATTATGTTGATTGTTTTAGTAGATGGATGCGGTGTATGAAGCTTTTGGCCACATTATATTAGATTTTATTAGAATTATGTGAGAGGATAACTTTCAAGATTGTTGCAAACGTACATTTTTTCTACGCATATAATATAAATTCAAGCGAGAGGTTGAATTATTCGGTTAAATCATTCTTCCTTCTCAAATTATTACAAATTTCTTTATTTGTAACGATGATTTTCCAAATATCCTTTTCACTCATAAAATTAGCTTTCTTAATTTTATAATTTTTATAAATATTTTAGGAATTATATTTGTTTTAGCATTTGACACGATGTGAAATTTTTATGGTAAGGTGCATTTTTAGAATATAATAACGTACAGAAGGAAATTCAAAACATATCATGTAAATATTTGTAATGTCCTTTTTTCTTCATTTATTGTTATTATTATTAGTCCCCTCCCCCCCACCGCCATTACATTAGAACATTAAAAATGGTATTTGTAGAATTTCATTGAAATATAAGCAACGAAGCCTTACTTCTCTTATTATTTTGAAATGTGCGAACTGCAAAAAGTAAGATCGCAATTTTCATTTATGATTTATGCAATCGTTCAACAATATCATACGTTATCCCACTTAAACATATCGTTCAGCGATTCTAATTAATTCTTGTATCACAATAAAATAATGTGCATGACCAATTCCAAGTGTATGAATTTAATTGCATATGTTAATATGTCGAATAAACCTTTTATAATTTCAAAAAACATGCTTTCGTAATTATTGTGTAATTCAGTTTTCAACTTTATTATTGGAAAATCATGAGAAACTTGTAACTTTATGTTTCTTTTGTCCAAAGAAATTACTTGATAAGAAATATATCTTGAGGATATATAATTAGAATGTTATATTTTTAATATAATAGTGATAAATTTATAAATAAATTTAAAACTTCATTTGAATTTATCATAGTTATAAAAACTTACTTTTTAGCATTATTTAATTAGGATTATATTGGTTTTTATAAAATATCGTTGAAATACAATAAATAAAGTCTTTTAAAAAAGTTTGTTGAAAATTTTTTTTATAAAGTGGTTTATATATATAAAATTTATAATTCAAATAGTTCATAAGTAATAGTAGCATAATATTATGAGATATGTGTCTTGTGGATATTTATAGCGAATGAAAGTGTCAGTTAGAAAAACAAAATTATGGTAATAATAATAATAACGCTAATGCTCGATCATAATAAATAACAAATCTCTTATATGAGCCATATTGATAGCCTTTTTACAATATAAAATAATATTGATGTCAGTGATAAGCAACGTCATAGATGTAACGAGAACACAAATTGTTCTTCATTATATTACAAATTTGTAAGCATAAATATAAGCTTAAGCATTTATCGAATAAATAAGCCTCTTACTATTTATTATTAAATTTTTTAATTTTTTATAATTGCATTTAATATATGTGAGAATAAATAATAGTCGATGTATTCTTATTTATTTACGATTAGGATATTCTTATATGTATGATTTCATAGAAGGCAAATAAATTAAATTCAACTTTTAAGAAAATAAGGAACTATAATTAAATACTATTTGAATAATAGTGTTTTAATTGTAAACAAATCACTATCGTATCTTATCAATTAGGAGCACATGATTATACTTTGAAAGAGATATAGTTCAGAGTATAAAAGCGTGGAATCCATACTGTCTACATATTAAATAGGCATTAAATAAATATTTTTTACTATCTGTCATTGCATTATATTTATGAAAAGCAGAAATTATTGTAATTTTGTTTCATTACATTTTCTTCCTTGTCCACATTATGAAATATTTTCCCATTAATCCGTTATTACGGTTATATTAAGGTACTCGAAATTAAATAGCAATCATCATTTATAATTTGTCATGTAAATTGTGTAAAATATATATTAATTGCGTGTAAGTAATTAAGTCAAATATAGTAAAAAAAAAAATAAATAAAAAAAATGTTATGAAAAGGGATTGTTATTTTCATTAAAATGAATCAAATTTAAAGATTTTCAATAAAAAAAAAAAAAAAAAAAAAAAAAAAAAAAAGGATAGCTTTTTTTGCATAAATTATTGCGACTAATAATGATAATGCCGTGTAATATAAGTGAAAAATGTATTTATTTATATCTAAAAGATATTAAATCTTTCGAATTATTTAGAATTAAATTTGATCAGTAATTTTATCTTGTATGGAGTCAAGTTCTTCGCACATAGAGATCGAGTATATCAAAATAACTAACTCTTCTTCTTGCTTATTATTTATTTATTATTCTTGGCTCTGCGTTCTATAATTTTCGCAAATCATTGCCCAAAATTTTTAAACTCATACGTTAATCCAAGAAGGATGTAATTAATGTATTATGTATATTTTTTTATTGTATTTATAATTATTGTAAATTTATATTTATCTATATAGGATTAAATATGCTAATTAATTTTTATTCACTATGTTGATAATAAAGTCTTGATAAGAATTAATAGATAAATGAAGATTTATTTTATCGGGACGAAATTTTACATTTGATATAAAAATGTGCCTCTGTGAATTATTATAAGCATACGACCATGTAATATTGGACCACCGCTGTTACTCTAGAATTAAGTAGCCTTAATTACATTGAAATTATTAGAATGCATTATATTTATCATTTGTCATGTACAATATGCTATTGTATAAATACTATATATCGAGTGACATGATTTTTTTCGTAAAATAAAAATTTACCTTTATAATAGCAATATAATACAGTATACGATTTAATACATTTTCTTTGGTATTTACAATATTATAATTATGTTAAATATAAAAAAATATATCACTATTATAAATCATAGAATATAATTTTAAGATGTATTTTAATAAAACTTTCTTAGACTTGTTTTCTTTTCTTTCTTGCCCTTGGATCAAGCCTAAGACTGGGACAGGGTTTTATACAATTTATACAAAGTCTAACAGTCTCTTAACATAGTCTCCCATTGTGCCTTTCCTAGTCACCCCAATGTTTCTTTTAGCATGCAGCCAAGAAAGCTTTCATCGGTGGTGTACACATGAAATTTAGGGTTTCCATAATATTTGTACCACGCCGGACCGTTCGGGGTAGTTGGTTCTAATTTCAGATAGTCTGAGTAGTCCTCTTCAGACACCGTACGTATAAAAAGCTCAGTGCCTGTACGAGTTTTGTTAAACGCATATGCCATAGTTATTACATTTGGCAAAAGCATATCTACATATTCTTCTGAGCGCAAACATGCATTTTTGCTTCTTTCTACCCCGAGTAGAGTTATATGTACCATGTATAAGGAAATTCGTCAATGGGTTCTTGGAAATGGAATAATAGATTTTTTTTCTACCAATTTCATGTCAATTTGATAAATGAAATAAGAATCTGGAATATGCATTTCTTCGGAGGGATGCATCATTCTATCTATTTCATTCATAATCGGTTTAAAAAAAACACCAGCTTAATAAAACATGGTATGATTCAAAATTAAGAATTCTGCTAATATGCTCTATGTTCAGCAAAGTATTCTCACGATTTTGAAATTTGTATAAAAACATATCTACAGCAGCTACAATTTTCATGTAAGACTCGTCCAGCACCCATAACTGATATAGGGATTGCGGAGGGAATTCCCACAATTAGGAAATCCATTGAATTCACCTTCCTGAGTAATCAATCCTTGAATTCCTTTACATAAGATGTCATGTTTAATTGACTGAACTTTGCTCTGAAGAACTTGTTCAACGGTTCCATCTAAAATTTGCACTCCTATTAAGTCTAAAGGAGAGATAGTTTCGCCCTTTATCCCTATAGTGACTTTATAGGACACCCAGTATTCATTCAATGTAGCTGTCAAGTTTTTCAAACGAGTGATAAGGTAATAAATACTTTACGGCTTCCACTGAAAGGTCATTGTTGGCTATTCCTTGCTTCACAATTGCAGCCACAGATTGTTCGGTCATGGGCTCTTGTTTGTCTGTTGCGTAGAATTTCGCGTTAGTGCCGTTGCGGACACGTATTTCAACTGGCGGGCGTCTTCTATTCATTCTTGGATTTGGACTTCAAATTTGTTTAGGTCCAGAGCTGCGTGACAAGTGCGTTGGTGGGTACTGTGGTGCAACCAGGCCCGAATCGTATTGATTGTGAGTTTGCTGACTCGGTTAGATCACGAGGGAGATTTTTTCTCGCCTTGCAAGCACGAGCTGTAAGGTTATGTGTCGTATGAGTAAGCACGAGGCTTGAAATACAGGTTAGAAGAATATGGCACGAAACTGATGTCGCGAACTGTGCTTAACGCGGAACGAGCCTGAACTAAACATGAAAATGAACAAACAAAAACAAAACAAAAAAACGAACATGAAAACAATAGAACAAAGATCAGAAAATGTCTATAAACAAGTGAGTCGTGCTCTTGGCGCGAGCCTTGAAATAGAGGAAGGATCTACACGGAGAATTACTAGACTATGTGGTGCGTAGTAGACTTCGTGCATGATAAGCATGAG